ATAGGAAAACCGAAGCACCACACCCATGAAGATTTATTCCTCTTTCTAAGGGCCCCGTCCCTTCAATCAGAGTTCTCTATAAGTAGCAAAAAAGGGCCTTCTCTCTACGTAGCAATGACACCTCCCTGCAGCCATGGACGGCGAAGCAGAAGCTGCTCCCAAAAGACGACGAGTAGTGGTGGGTCAGAGACAGCGACTTGCCGCCGCCGAAGCTCAGCAGGACCAGCCGTCTGTTTCTGAAAGTTTTTTGGCCAAGGACCTGAAGGAAAGATGGTCTTGGGGCGATTTGTCTGTCCAGGCCATGCAGGCACTGGCTGCGAAGGCTGTCAAAGACTTCGAGAATTGTGGAGCAAAGGCCCCAACGGAGTTGCAAGCTCTGGCGAAGCTGGGTTCAGGCGGCATCCACCCTAACAACATGAGACGTGAGATCATGAAAATTACAGAAGTTGGTTGCAGATTGCCGCCTTTGCAGCGGACTGCTCTACAGTTCAAGCAGCCCTGGGGAAATCAGCCCCAGCTCATGATGCTGCCTCATGAGATGTTCTCCGCCTTGTACGAGAATTACCACGAAGCTTTCAAGCGGTACGTGGTGGCCGATGCGAATGTCTTGCAGGAGTTCTGGCGGCTACAGAAGAAGCACCCGCAGTTCAAAGACCACCCTGTGGTAAGCCAGGCTTCCTTTGAGCCTCGAAAGTTCGTGCCGCTTTCTTTACACGGCGATGGAACACCTGCAATAGGTGTCGGGAAGATATGGAGCCGAATGTTAACCACCTGGAGCTGGTGTAGCCTGGTTGGTGGTCCTGCCTGGACCAAGGATTCGCAACTGCCCATTTATTTCCTCTTCGATGAAACAGATGACGGCACAGCAGCGACTACCTTCCTCAGCATGCTGGCCTGGAGCTTCAAGGTGCTGCAAGAAGGTCTTTGGCCCTTTGCAGACCACAAGGGCAACCTGCACCCGGGATTGCATCATTATCTTTCTGGTTGGGGTCAAATCGGATAAAACTCATTCTCTTTCTAACAGAAGTAGAAACACGTCGCATAAGAGCTGAATGCCTTTTCTTTTCTTTATAAGTAAAAAGCCCAAGTCGAATGTGTAAAGGACGAAAGTTTCTATGTAGCAGCGAAACACTAGCGATAACCTCTTGTTTTTCTGTCTTATAAGCAACAAAATGGAATCCTAATCTCTTTCATGAGTCACAGGCAAGATGTGCTATCCAAAGTCTACTCACACATAAGCAAAGCTTCGCTCTAAGTAGCAACAAACTTTAAGTAGCAACTTTTGGTGGCAGACAATGGACTGTTCGAAGTAACACTTTTCTGTCAGCTTTCACACTGTCAGAGGTACCCGCCCACGAGCGACCTGGGCCGTAAGGCAGGATCGCCCTTGGCGGGGGGGTGGAAAGGCGTCATCTGGGCATTGGTCGGCGATCTTGAGTATATGGTCTCAAGATTGAACATGCCACATTTTGGCCAAAAGCACAACCCGTGCGGCCTTTGCAAATGCTCGGGCGACGAGACTTCCACCTCCTGGAGGAATTGCAAACCGACAGCGCCATGGCTCAGCATGCAATGGTCTTTGGCAGAGTGGCGGTCTTTTCCGGACCGCCCGAAAAACCCGCTGTTCGACAGCGGAGTATGCTCTGCACTCAGTTGCCACATGGACTACATGCACACGAAGTACTTGGGGCTGGATCCTCTGGGATTCGGGAGTGTGCTGAGCTTGCTCGTCAACTTCGTGTTGCCCGACTCACCTCTCGCGAATTTGCGATGTGTGTGGGAGCACCTGCTCAGCTCCTACAAAGCCTTGAAAATCGTGGAAAGGTTCAGGGGCATGAGAAAGCTCAGTCTTTTTCAGAGGAAGAAGCTCCCGCCGAAACTCAAGGGGAGAGCCATGCAGATCCAGGCTCTGGGGGAACCACTACTCCTCTGCTGGCAGAATTTCATGAACAAAGACCTCGAAATTCACCTCAAGATCGAGAACTACTTGAAGGTGAATCTAGCCCTCGAGAAGATCCTGCATGCTACGAGGACCGAGATGGCCATGCCTCCAGACCATGCGGAGAAGTTCAAGAAATTGGCTTTCGGGCTCTGCCAGCTGCACCGACAGCTGCGGGAACACTTTGAAGGAAACTACTTCGCAGACCTCCCGAAGATGCATTTCTTCTTGCATGCCTGCCTTTTGGCAGATGTGCTGCATCCCCGGCTCACATGGTGCTTCAAAGGAGAGGATCTTCAGAAGATCTCTCGAACCTTGGCTGGCTCCTGCTGCCGGGCTGTGACCGGCCCTCGGGCTGCGGCAAAAATGTCGCAGCAGCTCCGCATAGCTTGGCACTTGCGGCTGGACAGGCTTTGTGGAGAGTGAGGAAAAAATGTCCTCGCGAGCAATGCTGTGGGTTTAGGGCTCCTAGATTTTCAGGTCCAAGGTATAGGGTCTAGGGCAAACTTTTCACGAGTGTTTAATGGACCGTGCTGATTTCCTCGGTATCAAACGAGTTAACATTTCAAGAAAATCTTTCAACACGGATCGGTTTTCAACACATTTCCCTATTCGCACACGTGTTTTTTCTAAGCAAGACTGACTTTGTTCTGTATGGATTTCCGATGATTTTTTGGTTTCCAACATATGCGAAAATATCCTATATTCTACCATATAACCTGTTTTTGCATAGTCTATTTACCAAATAACCGGAAAAATAGACTATGAAACAAGAGCGAAATAGTCTATTTAAAATAGTATATTTCCAGGTAAAATAAACTATTTTGCCAAATAGGATATATGTCCCAAAATAGCCTAACCTGATCTTAGAGGTAGGGTTCAGGTTTCAGGGTTCCGGAATTAGAGTTTGCATAGGGTTTGGGGTTCCGGAATTAGGGTTTGGGTTCCGGAATTAAGGTTTAGGGTTTAAGGCGGAATTAGGTTCAGGGTTTAGGGTCTCGGTCAGGGTTCAGGAATCAGTGTTTAGGGTTTGGGGTTCAAGCTTTAAGGTGAAGTCTTGGGTTTGGGGCTCAGGGGCTTAGGGTTTCGTGTCTAGGGTATACATAGGTATAGGGTTTAGGGTTTAGGGGCCAGGGTGTGGGATGGTGGTCTTCGGTTTCGGATGGTCTCGGGGCTTAGAGTTTATAAGGGTTCAAATGTGAGGTTTGGTTTAAAGCTTAAAGCGGTAGGATGTGTTGGGGCTTTTTCAGGGCAGAGAGAGCTCTTGCAGGCTTTTGTGCAGCTTGATACGTGGAACTTGGGTCTGAAAAGCTTGTGTGCTCAGAATTTCGAAGACTGTGCCGCAATGTTCAACGACTTGGACATTTTTCTGGAGAGCACGGCCGCAGATGGACGGACTAACAACTGTTACTCCAAAATGGGCACAGTGCTACGCCTCGCAGAGCTACTACCCACTCCTAGATACGTAAGAACACTGTAGTCTTACCATGTTGGTGGGGGAAAAAACCTTATCAACACCCTGCGGAACCTAAGACCCCTTTTGAACCATAAGTTGTTCCCACGCATATGTAAAAACTAAATGTCTGAACCCTCAACGGTTGGGGTTCGCTAATACAGGGATCGGAATCATGACTAACACTGCCCCATTGCCGCCCGTCATATACCCAAAACCCTAAACCCAACAAATTCCAAAACCCTGGTCTCAAGTAGAAACCAGAAAGTTTGAACGTCATTATTAACTATCCTCATACCCTTCAGGTACAGTATAACGAATCCTAGCACGAATCATCTCCAATCCATGTTCCAACTTTCTGGCTTCTACTATAGTTCTTCAGGCCCCGATCCATTTCCCGAAAGACTAGTCAAAACACACCCTGAACCTTAAACCTTAAACTCTAAACTAAACCCTAAAGTTCCTAAAGTCTTCGCGGAGGGCTCGACAACCGCCACCGCGGAGCCCGAAGCGGCCCGGGCTTCGCGAGCGGCAGACAATGCGTGCGGGGAGCCTAGGTATATCTAGGCGCCTGGCGCCATGCATGGGCACCTCCCACGGAGTGGTACAAAAGATAAACCCTAAACTGGGGGTTTTGCCAGCAGATCCCTGTTACAAGGGTTGCACCCCCCAACCCCTTCACGACTTGGAGCAGCCTGTCCTCTTGACAAGGGTTGTGCCCCGCAGCCTTCACGGATTGGACCGGCTCCGACCAGAAAAGGACCAGCTGCACCCCCCAACCCTTCACGACCTGGAGTGGCTCCCCAACAGCCCCTCAACCCTTCACGATTTCCAAAAGGACGATCGGACCCCCCAACCCTTCACGAGTTGGAGTGGCTTGAAACCACAAGGACGGGATCCCCCCAACCCTTCATGATTTGGACGTTCCCCAAATGGACAAGGATCGGAACCCCCAACCCTTCACGGTTTGGCAGTTGTTCCCGTCCAGAAATCTGACAGCAAAGTTTCTGCAACCAAACTCTGCTTATAAAATGTGCCATTTACATTGGGCTGTCGCTCCAGCCGAGCCTCACAGAAAGCCCAGTGTTTCTTCCGGCACCCGCCAGTACAGTGAGAAACCGCCAGCACAGCATCACAGAAAGCCCAATCCAGAAAAGGAACAGACTGACCGAAAGCCCACATGCACTGCTGTTTGTCTGTTAACAACTCCCTCCGGCCCACAAAAAGCCTATTGTCTTTTCCGGCACCCACCAGGACAGCCTTACAGAAAGCCTGCATGAGAATTCACAGGAGGCCCAATCCAGAAAGGAACAGACTCACAGAAAGCCCACATGCACTGCTGCTTTCAATCCTGCTTGGGCCCCGTTGAAAGTAGCGGCCCGCGTCGGTTATGCCAAGCCCGCGCTAGGATGCCCAGAAGACTCTATGGAGCTAAACCCGAAAATGCTTGAACTCAGGGAGCAAACCCTAAACTCTGAAGCCTAAACCCTAAACCCGAAACCCTAAACTCTGAAGCCTAAGCCCTAAACCCTAAACCCTCAACCCGAAACCCTCAACTCTGAAGCCTAAGCCCTAAACCTCAAAAGGGACCCGATCCCGGAGCCTTGCCTTGGTCTGCCCGTTCCGTGGCATCGTCTCTCGGCTGCCCTTTTTTTGGGGAGTTGGGATTTCAGGCTTTGGAGGTTTAGGGTTTAGAGTTGGGATTTCTGGTTTTAGAGGTTCAGGGTTTAGGATTGCAGGTGTTGGGGCGTTCGGGGGTTTCGGGTTGGGATTTCAGGGTTTCAAGCTTTTGGGGATTAGGGGTTTAGGATAGGCTTTCAAACGGGGGGGGGGGGCTTCTCGTTTGGGAGTTCCGCGTTTTGGCATGAAAGAATATAGTAGTAATCATAATAACAGTAATGATAACAACAGCACTAGCAACAAGAGCAAGTAACACGACCAAGAAGAGATTCATAAGAAACTGAATAAGAAAAACTATAATAATGAGGGAATTTAAAAGGAATTAGAATAGGGCTGTGAATAGGAATAGTATTACGAATTCATATTGACTATCGTAATAGTAGTAATAATAGCAATGATAACAATCACAGTAATAATTTCAGCAACAGTAGCAGCAACAGTACGTAATAGTAACGGTAATGTCACTAACAAGAATCAAAACCACGTCATTCCTTGTTGGGTTTAAGTACCCATAAGAATCTCACAAGTTACCCAAGTATGACTAGGAGGTGCTTTCAAAGCAGTTGAGAAATATTAGTAGGTAAGATCCTCTTAAGCCCAATAAGAGCGAATATAAAATGTCCCAAAGCCCTACCTAGATGACAAAGCCTAAGAGTCAGGATGTCCCGGCTGGGGTCTGTGGCTTGGGAGTTCAGGCTTTCGAGTGTGTTAGGATAAGGAGCCCTCAAAATACTGTTGATGATATAAATCCTGCATTACCCATAATAAGGGATATATGGGAATTATGGTATATTCCTTATTATGGGTCATGCAGGATTTGTATCATCAACCGTAGTATACCATAATTATGATAAGGAGCCCCCCAGAATAGTAGAGGTAATTCTTCAGGCCCTCATATGGGTGGTTGTCAACATTATGGCCCCTTTTTTGGGTACCCTAGATATTGGGTGCCGTATTATATTACGGACCCAAAAAAGGGACCCTAATTTTGACAACTACCGATGTAAGGTTCAGGGTTTAGGCCGATGGGAGTTCAGTTTTGGGATTTCAAGGCTTAAGGCAGTAGGGGTTGGGCTGGGTGTGTAGGATACCGAGGCTTACAGATTTAGAACACGTGATGTTTTCAGGGTCAAAAGCTTGGATTTTGGGGGGGGGTCTTGCGGATGTGGGTTTTGGAGCTTGTAGGAGGCTCTGGATGGGTATGGGCCTGGGTTCTAAAGGGGTTTAGAGGATTGCAGTTTCCCGGGGCTTCGAAAAGGCATAGGCATCTTCGGGCTGAGGGTGAAATACACAGGGCCACGGCCATACTGGTTAGAATGAGCTTCTGGGGTATGCAGCCTGAACTGAAATTACAAAAAACCCTGGGCGTTGCAGAACCTGGTCTTGTCAACCCCAAATCTGACTAAGAACGCTTGGGATATGTGTCGCACCGCCAGGTGCGTCCAGCTGATGCACAAGCTGAAGAACCTGAAACCTCAAAAAGACCAGAACTGCTGAACTTCAAAATTCAAAGCCCTCAGCTACGGCACCTTGAGCACTGAACCCGAAACCATAAACCCAAAAGCTCTTGAAGCCCTATACTGTCCCGAAACCCCGCTACAGTCCTCCCAACACCGAGAACGACCCTTTAAGGAACCCTATAGATCCCTTTAAGGAGCCCTTTAAGAGCCCTCACTAGGACCCCTAAACCCTACTAGTGGAACCAAAACCCCCCAAGTCTAACTGGGGCAGGCTCTTAAGCAGGTGACTTTTGAGACACGGGAGCCAAGAAAAGTGGATCCTGCCAGTTTGCCTCTGACACCATAAGCCTAAGGCCCCAAAGTAGCTCCTTTTTGGGATTACCTTATAAGATTCTATATATGAACCCCCAAAAGGAACTACTTTGGGGCCTTAGGGTAAGTGTTGAAATGCTTCTCACTGCATGCCCAGGTATCAGGTTAGACAGGTGTGTAGTCTGCTTGAAGGGATTGCCGGCACTTGTATAGTTTCCTTCAGGTAGGCTTGTACATGTGTGTTTCCTGTATCCTTTGGCTTAGGGGAAGGCTGCGTAGGAAAGCCTCTTGAGCCATGTGTACTGTAACCAACAACTTGTAAAGCTGTACAGGTCGTTTGTTGGTTTGTCGGTTCTCTTGTTGCTTCGTTGAGATCGTGAGTCGCCTCTGCGCCCAGCCATAGAAAACATTCTGCGTGAGCTTCGCTGCAGGGTATGGCCACCCAGGGTGAACACCTTCAACAGGTGATGAGCCCAACGCCTGGGCCAGAAGCAACCGGAGCGGTGGCTTCTCCGGCCTCTCTGCCTGGAGTGCGGGGAGGCGGGGATGCACCGCAGACTACAGTGAATGGTACAACCGCCGGAGTTGGAGTGCCATCGCCCTCTGGGCTTGCGCAGCCTATTGGGGATGGAATCCAGCAAACTATGATGGATGCGTCGTCGGGGCCATCGACTTCCACAGCTGGTCCAGTGCCATCCCCTCAGCTGCCACAAGAAACTGTTGGAACAGCCGGCCAACCGAGAGTTTCAGCAGTCGGTAGGACAGGAGGCGATGGAACACTAGGCCAGGTTGGAGGCTTGGGCACAGCTGGCGTTACGTATGAAGCAGTATCTACCACGGAGGTCGCTGATGCGAGTGGGGTGCATGGAGATGCAACTGCAGTGACTCAGGGTTTCAGTGTGGCCACCGAAAGTGGAATGGCTAGCGCTCAGATCAATGTTGCCGCAGGCGTCTCAGGGTACAACCCATCTGCAGCGAATCCTGGAAGTAGTGCTGAGGGCTTTGAAACGCCCAGATCAACGGCGTACGGGGCGTCAGCGGTCATGCAGACTGGGGCTCAGGCTTTTGCTAGTCAGTTGCTAGGAAGAGTGCAGTCTCTGTTTGGTGGCGCGGCGAACGTACAGCCACTGCCGCAAGGGTGGGCTCCCAGTCCACTGACTTCTCCTCCAAGGCCGTCGCGACCACTACAGCCCCTCGAGAGAGGAGGCCGCGTCCTGCAAGATGAGTGTCAAGTGCCGATGCCGTTGTTCACTGGTGCCAACGCGCAGCAGCTTGCTGCCATGGAGCAAAGAGCTCCCTTGCTCTACGGGTCCGGGTCTCCGGACAGGCCTCCGCACACCGAGTCCTCATCTATTCCGCATGATGCGATTCAGGCAGAAGTCGCGCGACAGCTTGATGGGTTGAAGCAGCAACTGCGAGCTGAGCAAGAGAGAGCTGGTCGTGCTGAGGCCGAACTCTCGAGGATTCGGTCTCAGCAGGCTGGTGAAGTTGAGGCTACGGCGTTGCAGCAGGTGGGTACTAGGGAGGTTGGCTTTAGTGGGTTTGGTGATAGTGGGTTCGGTTCGCATCCTGTCGCCAACACTGGGGTTGGATTTGCCCCTTCTTCATCCTCACCGCCTCCTCCTCCGCCTCCTTCCGCTCCCGAGCCTCAGGGCTTCGCTGGTTTGTTCTCAGGGCTCCTTGGTTCCGGTGCGCGGTCTTCCAGCCCTGCACCGCAGAGGCCACAAGCAGAACCCAGAGGCACACTGCCAGCAGGAGCCGCGAGTGCATCAGGACCCACAGATCGTGAGATACTGATTGCTGGGATGCATCAACTTCAAGATGCCATGTCAGAGATGCTCAAGGGATCTCGCGCCGAACGCGACGGCGGTAATTCTCCCACCAACCCTGAAGCTGTTAAGCCAGGCATCTCGAGTTTCCCAGCTTTGGCAGAGCTCACTTCGGATGAAGGGTCTCTTCTGTACCAAGATTGGTTAGTTGTGATTGGGGGTTTGGTCGGTGATGTTTCGGACACAGCAGCAGAGTGGTGGCGTCAGGTTTTGGGTGTGGTTGATACGGCCTATGGGGTTTGGATTTCGTCATCACCCTTGGATAGGCTAAAGGTTGAGCCCGTTGTACCGGCTGAGTTGCTTCAAGGGCGATGGGCGCGTGTCAACTTTAGGATCTGTAGTATGCTTATGGCGGCAGTCCCCGAGTCTATCAAAGCAGACATTGTGGCCCGCAAATGCAATCAATCAGCTCCTTCCATCCTTTTCCGTTTGCACACCACGTACCAACCAGGTGGAGGTTCAGAAAAGGAGGTTATTCAGAAGAATCTCATGCAGCCCACTCCAGCATCTGATCCCTCCTCAGCCGTGAAGTCTTTGCGTGAGTGGATTCGTTGGTACAATCGCTGTGAAAGTTGCAACATGTCACCTCCGGACTCGACCATTTTGTCCAAGAGCCTCACTACCATCACTAGCCAAGTTTTGGCGCAGCATGAAGAAGCGAAGTTTCGAACGTTTATGCTTCGTTCCATGTTAAAAATGGATGCTCAACCAACTTCGTCTGCAGTCCTGGAGTACCACAAGCACTTGCTTGCAGAGATGGAAGCCCTTGCAGTCTCTAAGGCCACAGGTGTGAGTGCCCCTAAGGTTCGAGCTGTAGGCACGCCCAGTCCGGGAACATCTCCAAAGGCCAGTGGGCAGCCGCAGGCTTCAAAGCCCTGCAAGTTTTTCATGGGTACTTCGGGGTGTAGGCGGGGTCCTAAGTGCACGTTTAGCCACGACATGTCAGGACTTTCTCGTCAGGAGCGCAGCAAGAAGTGCTTAGCATGTGGCTCTGAGGCACACCGCCAAAAGGACTGCCCGGTAGCTGGAGGAAGCCCAAAGGGGAAAGGACAGCCAGGTGGAGGAAACACCAACAATGCTGCAGGCCACAGGCCTACAACGGCTGATCAGGCGTCTACTGCAATCCAGCCGGGCGCGAGCCCAGGCCGAGCGGAGGACTTCACAGCGTTTATGCGCATGATGTTTGCAGCTGCCAGTTCTTCCGAAGCCTTTCCTCCTGCATCCACCCCAGCCGCTCCCGCGCAGCCTCCGGCGATTGAAGACAAACCTGCAGCGCAGGAGGAGCCTAAGCCGAGCATTAAGACCATCCATCTCACAGCCATTGAGCCTGGGCAGGTTTTGGAAGTAGATGGTAGTCCTAGTTTTT